CTTTGAAGCTGTGCTTGTCCAAAGCCTCTGAACTTGCTCATCCACTCCATGCACTCCTTCTCCAGGTAACCTTTGGTGTATTCCTTCAGGACCTGGACATTATCCCACTTTCTCTTGGTTTCTATTGCTGCATCAACAGTGGCAACCCAGATTTGGTGGTCATCGTCGAAGGAGAGGAAATCACTTCCATCGTAATTGTACATGTCCATCCCACGGACGAAACTCATACTACCATCTGGCTGACTCTCACCCTCACAGCCATGCATCCACTGAAGAACATGGGTATCTTTAGGAAAACAAAATGAATAAATGAACACCAATACAAAATAATAAATGTACAGTTAGGGAAGACTAGTTTAGCAAAACATTACGGTTTTGCCTTTTTTTTCTTGAATCTTACCTGTGTCATTCTGTCTCAGCCGTTTCATCAAAATGTCGATGTTGACCTTGAACCATTGCTGCTTGCTTCTCCTGGACTGTGTGCCTTTGTCCCAATACTCCTGCTCAAGATTCTCCTTCATCCAAGTCTGTTTGGGAATTTTCTTCTGCTCACCGCTGTCAAAGTAGTCAATCATCCTGTTGTCCAACAGACCCATGGCGGTGAACTCAGGGAAGCCAGGAAGACCCACAGGTTTGGAGAAGGCAGTGTAGATGTAAGTCAGGGAGTGCCGTTCTAGAAATCATAAAACATAGAATAAGTATATATATTTTTTGAGGTTTAAAAACTTCAGTAAAACTGAMCTATGTTTTGCGTTGGCCATTACTTTCACATACTACACCAGGCATTAGTGAAGTGCTGCTTATTTACAAACACTAATGAAGAAAATGCTGAACATAAAGTATACAAGTGATATGTCTTCTCCATGTCTTCAACACTACAGTCTTAGACAGTTGTGCATCAGTCATCTTTTTCAGCTCATCAGCTCATTAGTTTGAGCCATATTGTCAAAATAAGGCTCCTCCTCGCCTCTCGTCATGGACACTGGTGTCCCTCAAGGCTGTGTACTCAGTACCTTTCACAGCACATTTTAAACAGAAAACTGTATGGACGACAACTTAATTATTACGATCACAGCATTTCTAATTTTTCATAAAGTCTGACAACCATAGTTACAGTTGAACAGGACAAAAGGTTTAAGTTTATCGGACAATTGACTATAACTTTGGTTTTAGTGGACATACAGTATCATCCAGAAACACTCACAATGACAACTTCGCGTATTTTTTTTAAGCTTGGTGCATTTGATTCTGACGCTAAATTGTAATTTATTCAGAACAGTATCAGTATATATATGTTGTTAGGAAAAAGAAACTCACAAACAAATATCAGTACAAAGTTCAGGTTACTGATTACCTTGCCTTGCATCTCACAATGAAAATACCAAGTGATAACATCCATACAGTCAGCCAACTGTAGATTCCCTACCTTTAGATACATTTTGTCCGCTCTKCCATTAAACCTTTGAATAAACTGTCCATTTGCACAGACCTATATGTTAACTTATTACTGAATAAATAGTTTTGAATTCAGACATAATTGGTTTGTGTTTTTAAACCTGCAGCACACTGGGCATATTTGTGAAAATTATTTTTGTTTCAGAAYGTAAGAACAAAACAACACAAATGACATTCCAAGGTGTCATCACATTACATTACACAAAAACAAAAACGGGTCTGTTTATGACAGGACTCCAAACACGTTTTTGTAACATTTAAGTCTCAACCTACTAAACAGAATAATTACATATTTACTGTGTACAGCTCAGTCATATTTGTAGGAAAATATRGGCATTTATTTTATTTAAACAAATAAAGAAAATGTAAATTGATATCAGATGCTAAAAAATTAAATGTTGTTGGTTATATGTGATAATGCAGCAAAGTTAACCGTTTGTTTGGATAGAAAACAAGGAAATAAAAGTTTTACAGTGGGGTTTGTTTATGRCAGCACTGATGTCAAAGATATCTGAGTAATGCTGTCTGACCTGTACTTTGAAATCCACACCTTACCTGTTTACCTGACACTTTTAGAACTGAYTTTACAGTAAATGTCATGAAGCAAAACAAAAGTGTTTTAGTTTATAAGTATATCTTATATAACTTATATATAAGTATCAATATACACAAGCTAAATAAAATCGATCACTTTTAAAAGCAGTAAAACTGTTATAACACTAACCTGTTTAATTTGTTTTTACCTATGTATCAAGTTAATCTATATAAAATGTTAACAGCAAAACATTTTAGTAAGTAGGAATGACTTCAGTTTCAACCTAATATTATAAATTTAATATTTTTGAGACAGCAAATTAATCATTGACATTTTGAGATTTGTGTTTCCATTGATTGAACTATGATTCACCAACTTCAAACTGCTATATGATGAATAGACCAACCAGAAAATATAAATGGGCAAAATGGTAAATTTTAAAATCTGTGCACTCAGTTTTATTTTCATTTTTAAAATCAACAATACTGAATAATAATAATAAAAAAACTTTAACTTACCGCTGTTCACTGTCAGCACTGTCCCCAGAAGGACAAAAACAGCAAGAACWGACATTTTGAACCTCAGTCAGGTTCAGTTCTTCTGTTGAAACTCAGTTTTCTCTCTGCTAGATGGTGGTTCTCTCCTTCCTTGTTCTACTTTGTCTACCTGTAAATCTGGTCTACCTGCTTTCTGTTGTGWAATGATTAGCCAAGGTGCTTTCAGGGCTCCTCCCACATCAGACACATTCTGATCTGTTCATCTGCATTTAGAGCTCTGCCTAAACAAATGGAAAAAACAAATTTGGTTGAATATTCTTCAAATTTCTCTTCAAAACCTGACTTAGAAATAAACAAGTTAAATACAATGCAATTTAATTTACATTAAATTTTTGCTTTATTAATGTATAACACCACTACAAATCATAACTCTGTTTATGAAAAGCAGAAATTATTTGCAACCCAAAGTAATCTGAACATAACCTCAGAAAGTCAAGGTGCTTTCAGGGATCCTAATACATCAGATAAATTCTGATCTATTCATCTGTATTATGTTGGGCTGTGTACTGGCAAGAATTTGGCGATACGATACATATCATGACAGAGTGCTCACGATACGATATATCCCGATATATTGCGATACTGTAAACAAGGCGATATATTGCGATACTGTAAACAAGGCGATATATTGCGATTTTTTTGTCCAAAAATTCTATTAAATAAAAACCTCAACAGGAAAAAAATGAAAAACCAAAATTCGTCTCAGAAAATTCTAATATCACATAGACATACTTTTGATACATTTAGCTGTGTTCTGCTTGTATGTATTTTGTTCTTGTTTCATCCATGTTTTCAATTATTAGACTAAATTTGCCAATAAATAGTTTGAAAACATTTTTTTTGCAGCTTTTAGTTTTTATTATCAATTTACAATATGGTCACCCAACACTTAATAGCCTCTACCTCAAGAGGTAGAGGAACCAAATGGCTGGCTCACTGCTGCCAACTAGTGGTCAGAGGCTGAACTACAACATAAGATGAACAGCTGGCAGGAAAATTGACATTTTAAACCTTAAAAAAAATCAATACAGGGCTTTAGAATATCAATACAGTATCGGGAAATGAAATATCGCGATATTTCAGTGTATCGATATTTTCTTACACCCCTAAAAATAATGTATGTGAGGTCTCCATGTCAGCTTGTCATCAATGATGACACCCAGAAATCTCACCTGACTGACTTTACAGAAATAAAAGGTGGATGAGTTAAACTAGAAAAGAAACAGAAGCAACTAGAAGACATTTCTCATTACTTTAAAGCCTGGTTCTTCAGCTCCTTTCTGTTTCTCTGGAGCTYGTTCAAACTGATTCCTACTATGAAAGTAATAATCCTCTCCATTCCACCTACACCCCTGACCCTGACTGTCCGGGGAGGTAAAAGCTTGGTAATTGTTTTATGATTGCTCCATAAAGAGTTGCAGTGGAGCTACACCACTGCACAGAGGACTGCATCTTCAGAGAGGTGGACAAAATATACATATCATGCTTTGACCTCAGACTGAGTTCAGATCTACTTTTGGTTCAGAACTGCAAAAGGCAAAAGTTGACACTCTTTGAATGGGAGTTCAGAC